TATATTGTACATTTATATATATATATTTCTATATATACATATGTCTATATATACATAGATATATATATTTATACTTATACATACATATATATATATATATATATATATATATATATATATATATATATAATATATATATATATATATATATATATATATATATATATATATATATATGGCCACACAATGTGGACACTCAATTTCCAGATTTCTTAACCAGTAGAGTATATTTGGTGAACGAAGCGATTAGCACGATTCGATACAATCCCATCATGGCTTGATACGACGTTGGTTTACACTGGACGGGCAAATCCAAAGTGGTACACATTTACATTTGTAGGGGTTTCATGTGCAATGGTAAGGGTTTGTTTGTGTCTGATACTGCGCGTGAACTGGTAAAGCCGTGAAGTGTCTATTGCGATTTGTGAATGCGAGCGCCACTGCGACCACATAGTCTGACACAGTGACGTCAAACTGTCCTTCAATGCAGATACGAGTCGACAACAAACAATAAACAGTTAGAAACACACTACTATCCACATAAAAGAAATCCTGACCAAATCTATTTGTGTATCCAATAGATTTTTATAGTCAGAGTCTGACTCCATAGACGACCATAGCTTTCTATAAAAATTAACCTACATACTACAGCATGATTACTATTTTACTACTAACTAGTAGTAGAGTATTTAAAAATAAATACTAGATATTTTGTTCTATTCAGGAGGCTACATACATAGCCTTCTGAAAAAAGAACTTATGTAAATTTTTAGTCTGAGTCTGACTCGCCAGTACAGACTACAGACTCATGAGTACAAACTACAAGTTCTCAGTTCAGACTTCACTGCTTCAGGCGGCACTCGGCAGTCGGCACTGTCGGCACCCTTCAAATGAGTCAATGACACTAAATACTCTCTCTTGTATTTAGTAGCAGTACCATATAGTCGTAGATCAAACTTTGTATGTAGTATGTAGCCTCCTTCTTCAAAAGATTCATACAAAGCCTTCTTCTTGTGGTGACATTTTTTTTTTACGTTAGAAGCGCAGCCTTCTGAAATCTGAATTCAACATTAGTAGAAGGCTATTGTGCAGTTGCCGACTTGCCGATAGTCGGCCAAATGACCCCTCCCGACTCGACCCACGGAGCACGAAATAATGACCCGATTCGAGAGTTTGATAGCGGAAAATGCTCAGCAAGACCTGATCTGAAATATCACCCGGACACATTTTTGATATTACGCCTGTTTCAAAACCTGATTCTGACTGATTTGGGAAATATTGGCCGTTTTTTCAGTATTCACCCTTCCAGTACGAATTTTGGACATTTGTCAACTAAAAAATCCGCAGGATTTTTGATAACTCTAAAAATAGGGGAAGCTCTGGAGTTTTTGGAGCCGAATCCTAGGGTCCTCCTATATCGTGCATAGTGTCAACAGTCCGACATCCGACAAGACAAAGATGACATCAAACTAACATCTTACAGACAAAGATGACACCAGTTTCGCGTATAAAAAGGGGACTCAAATAGGTCAAAGAACAACAGTCCACGAAACTACCAGAGAAAAAGGGACAGAAATCCACATGCCCGGTCATTTATAAGATCTGTCGAACTGTCAAAAATAATAAAAAATATTGATATTGATTGAGTTCAGTGCAGCGATCACAGTAGGTTCAGTGTAGCCCAGGCCCCAGTAGTATTGACCTTTGTGGCGTTATAGCATACTACTTTTCAAAGATGGTCTATGGGGGGCTATATGTGCGCGTATAGCGAGTCTCGACGTATATTTCGGGTACTTCATATTCTAACCAGTAGCTTTTGTACCAGTGAGAATATGATGTACCCGAAATAAACGTCCATTAAAGTAGTATGTATGCTCTATGCCAGAAAGGTCTGTTAGGTATGGATCTTATTTACGGGTGGCTAGTTTGACCCAGTTCTGGTACAAACTGAAATCCTTCATAACCTTTAAACCAATAGTCCGATCGAGATGAGATTAAGCATACGTTTATTATTCGTTAAAACAAAGTAGTTGTGCTTTCTAAGTGCCAATGAGATTGATTTTTTAAAGAGTAAAAATCTCGCTCCCCCTTCTCCATATGTTGTCCGGGAGTCCGGGGAGTCCGGGCCTATGATTTAGAGCCTTCTTTTTTATATATAAAAACAAATAGGTCATCAAACAAAAAGAAAAGGAGAATGAAGGCATCTGCATATTTATTTATTTAGCTTCAGTTCAGTAGTATGTGGTGATGCAGACGTAATGCAGACGTGATTAGTTGGCCTTTACGCAGCAACAACATACACAGTGTGGTCCGAAGTCAATAATCAGTAAGCGGCAGCGGCTACTTTCCTAGTAATATATAGGTGACATACTCATATACCAATGTAGTCACTTTTCACCTTTACTTTCACACACACACACTTACTGGTACACACGTATTCATTTTCACTCTTACTAACACACAAACACACACTACGCGTGCACACGTTTAGACACACACATACACGTGTACACAAACAAACACACACGTGCACACAAATATATATACACACATACACACACAGACCCACCCACCACACACACACACGTGTACACACACACACACACACACACACACACACACACACACATTATATATTTATATATATATATATATATATACACATACATACATACATAATCATAAAAATGTGTTGTTAGGGGGTTTTCGAGTATGTGTAAGTGCGCTAATAAGACATGATAAGATATGCACACCTCGCTCCCGGAGTTTCGATCAGAGCGCACAAAATTGAGCAGTGTAGACAATTTAAGACCAGGTTTAATCTATCCGGATAGTACGTTGGATGCAGAAGCTAGCCCACATTGCAAGCGTGGCAAGGATGGGTGCAAGGGGATGTGTGTTTGCGCACAGGCAGTCTATGCGCGCAAACACTTACAGAGTGTGCGTGAGTATGATACAGTGCCAATTGTAGTACCATCAGAGGCAAAGAATCGCGTAACGTTCAATGCGTACCCTATCATCGTACCGCATAATTCAGGGAAGGGAAAGGATAAAGCCACCTCGACTGTAGCGGATAATGTCAGGCAGTATAAACGCCATGTCTCGCTGGCTTTCACTAGGGCCACCGCGCGTCTGCCCCAACGGCCGCAAATTGGGAAGTCTGCCAAAATTTGCGGTAACACACTTGTTAACAGGCTTAGTGATAGTGATATTATCTGTACTCCGAGTCTGATGCACAGTCCCAGCGCAGAGAGTCGCACTACCGAGAGAAATAATAGCATTAGCGCATGTTCGAGTGAGAACTTAAGATATTCAGTCAGTGATTTTGAACCCAATGAGGGCAAGCTTGCGAGTATCTCGCTGCCAAATCTTGGTAGCGAATTCGAACACCCTGAGGATATTTCTGAACGACCCCCGGACTCGAAATGTTTGGGGTGTGCGTCGGTGCACAAAGGTCCTTCAAACGTAGGCGGACATGATATGCGCACGTTCGGACAAGCGCAAAATGATAGTAAGCTTTCGTACGGTGCTGGCATACGCAGTCGTAGCTTAGACGACGCTGATACTGGAGAAAGTGTGGGTAAAACCTTGCGCAGACGGCATACATTGGAAGGTAGCCATATGTATGAGTGCCCAGTAGACGACCTGTGTATCGCAGAGTGTTTGGATATGTGCACTAGGTGCGCGGAGCACGACTCTACTACCAATAAGTGTCAGAATATATGCGTGCATGTGTCGAAATCTGCACCGGTTTCTCGGCGTACGGTCGACCGCACCAACGGTGAAATGGGCCCAATCGAGTTTTCTAACTCAGGCGGCAAAGTATCCACTTCTGAGCTAGGCCATGCTGAGAGGGAGTCTTCTTCGGATTTAATGGCGGGATGGGAGTTAATTGACAAGCGGGATGTACAGTCATACTCGGCATCGGTGTCAAGCGATCGACGAGCGGTCAGAAAGTCAAGTTCGCAGACACTGCAGGAAACGGGAAAGACGCTTGAGAGTGACAACACACAGTTCAATACAGATTTAAATACCGGGTCACTCGGGGCTACCGCGATCGAAACAGGCCAAAACATGAGTGCGACCGGCATTTATCCCCTAGCTACAATCAACGAGAACGATAGGGGTGCGAACGTGCATCTGATATCTTCGAAGGATCAAGGGAAAACAAATGTGGTGTTTGGAGTGCAGCCTCAACATTCGCAAAGTGCCACGAACGTTGCACCCATGTGGTTTCAAGCGATGTCCGCGGAAGCACAGGAAGCGATCGAACCCATTGGCAACAGCGGCTCTGAGAACGTACGGGAAGAGTGTGAAGGGGACTTTTCTTTTGCCGTGAGACCTGGTTTTAATGTGAGGCTGACGAGATGGTTCAGCGACTACAACCGCATGCGCAAACTAAACCTCTGGGTTTATCTGTTAGTCTGGCTTCCGTTATGCAGCGCACTATACCTACCCGCGTATCTGATCAACTCTCAATCCTTGCTTGAGTCGTGGACTAACAATGAAGACATCGCATACGGGTCAGCCGTTCTATGTTGTATGATCACACTAGTCCCAGCGCTCGTGATATCGTACTACTTGCACATCTACAGAGACCGGCCCATGGTTAAAAGCAGGGGGAGGGAGTTCCTGTTTCATTTATTCTTGGGAGGTATCTTCCCCTGTATCATACTCAGTTTCATAGAAGTAATAGTTTTCGCTGCACCCGGGGTACCCGAGTGGGTTTACTATGTGGTCGTCGTGCTGCAAAATTGCACGCTTAATCAGTTCGTGATTGCCATCGTCGCAAGGTATGCGATTGCCTCTTATACATTACCAAATTGTCTAATTGGCGACCTGACCTATTCGCATTATGTGATTTCGTTTGGCTTTCAGTCCAAATTGTTGTCTGTGCGGGCTCATTACACGACAATCTCCATGTGTCGCTCTGCGATGCGTTGCCTGCGATGTTATCACCAAATTCCAGATTGGATGTGTGCCATCTTGGGACCTATGTCCAGAGGTGCACCACGGGATTCAGGGTTTAGTGTATGCATGGCTATAATGTGCAAGCCAGGTGTTAATTTACCATCATTACTCACATGTACTGCTTGTCATTCTTTTGTCACAGGCAGCGTATGATCTATCGCATCTTTGCGGCGCACAGCTACCAGCTCTCATTCTCCTATGGCTGGTTCACGTTTTTGCTTACCTGCTCTTGGGCGCTGAGCGTGGTACCCTTCAGTGTGGTGTTTTTCATGAATGCTAGAGATATCGAAAGTAGATACTCGGACGCTCAGTTTACAATAGGGTGGGCGGGATCCATTGCACAAACCCTGCTGTACTGGGGCCTGTTTGTGTACTACTCGTACTTTTCGAGAGGGGCGCACGAGAAGTTCAGTGACTTCTATCAAAACATCCGACTGGCGATTTTGTCGCCTACGCTTTTCTTGGCACTCTTCATTGCCGCGAGTTTCTACCAATACTCGCCGTACGCTAGTCTGGTAATCCCGTACCTCTCCTGGTTTATAATATCACTCTATATGGTTGACAGTTTTCCCGTGCCGCTGTACCTGTGTGCAAGGGGTGTAGACTTGCACATAGAATTGGCCGAGGAGCGGACTCCCGGGAGTGCCCCTGTGCGCAGTGAATTCGTACAAGCACAGATGAGCCAACGTTTGTCACAGGCCTCAAATGCAAGGCGTGGTGTAGTTAAATCTGCGTCTATGTCTATGCCGCGTTCTCAAAGTCTAATGGAGGATATTACTGATGCGACTAACTCATCCGGTGGTGTAGCTCTAGATTCCGGGGAGACCCGATCGGAGCAACTGCGACCCACATGCACGGTTTGAACACAACCGAATCGCGTAGTGACAGAAATGTGTTGACTAGGTGACTAGGCAGTGTGCAACACAGAGACGATGCAATGTTTAAAGAATTTCGATGGCGATTACAGACACACAACACACGCCTGGATGGAGGCATACCTTAAATGCCAAGAACTCCATCAAATACGCCTGGATGTGATATGGTGCGCTAGGGTTATTTAACTTCATAGCTTGCGTTCAATTGTTGCATCTGATTCACCAATGCACTTTTTATGAGGAGTGCATCAGAGTTGACAACCAAGCTGGCTTATGCAGAGAGACAGTGTTACAAGTCAAGCCACAAATGGCATCGTACCTCCATTCAATGGCAAGCAGCCGCACAACGCTGGAGCTATGATATGAATTGCGTAGTGCCACGCTTAGTTCGCGTGCAGGCACCCAGAGGTTCACAGCTATATGTTGTACTCTATGCCCTGGACGTGGGTTGAATATTATTTTCTAGCAGTGGGGGGTAGTAGAGGTTCTCAGACCTAGGCGAGGCTAGCATGAATTACAGGACTGCGAGGAATGATTTTACGAGCGTGAGCCTGTAGAGTGTGACGAGATTACATGTAATCCGTATCAGTACGTTAAGATCTGCATTGAAGACAAAATGAGTGTGCTAGTCAAGTACCGGGAAAGTATAATGCGCCGGCACGCATATTCTACCACCAAAATATTATAGTCTAACAGTCTAAAATTGAGAGTATGTCATAGCATAGGAGCGTTTATCCTGAGAATTGTTTGGCATGCTGCAGGGCACCATCTACGCTCTCAGGCTTGTCCCGACATTTCTGATATCGCCCGAGTGCCGCACGTTATCGACAAAGAGTTGTGAGATTAAGGGACTCAACCCGTCACCATACTGACAGTGTTCGTACAAATACCAGACAACGGAAATTAATACATCTACACTTTTGAATGCTTTTGTTTGAATTTTAAAATGAAATATATAGTTCCTCTATACGCTTGGATTCAATAAATTAATACTGCGTTCGCACGCTTCAATTAATTAGAACAAAAAGTGCATCTGCACGCTTTGATCGAGGATATCCAACGTAGTGTTCGCCTACGTGATCTTTATAATTGTATATGTACTTTTTCTCGAGTCTTTATTATTTTGTAGTTAAGTCATTTCCCCAGCAATTTTTACGCATGCCACCTGTCCATTGCAAGGGCGAACTCACAACAAGACATTCTAATTAGAGCGAGTCAACATGAACTCTCAAACATCCAAGAAATATCACAATAAACCAGGAAGGTGAGTTATATTCTCTATCATTCCAAGATATATCACAATAAATCGGGTAGATAAGTTATACACCGTCCCGTAATAAGTAAACGTCATGTTCGGTTGCTGGCGCTAAGCGCACCGCTTAATGCTCCTTATAAGTCAATTATTCCCCTAATGAGTCTCCTGGGAGTTTTCTTCTCGGAGGCAGGGGTTGTACGGTTGGTCATAATTCGCGTGTTTGGTATAGTAGTAGTGGCCGTATTGTCGCCTGATGGCTCATCCGCATCCTGCACAAATCCAAAAAAGCAAACATTTGTCAGGACGAGATCGTAAATATATTAAAGATAATAAACCCCTGAACAAAAATGCAATACAAAACATCAACTGAATAAGGCACAATGATTTGACTCCCGCACTTACCGCGTTGAGGGCGTCTCGGCCACTCCTCTCCAAGTACTCCAGAGATTTGGTAGTTTGGCTTATTTGCTCCACCTAACACAAGGGTTCAGGCGATAAAAGACAATTTGATTCTATTGCATCATTGTGGTATGATGTATAAGTAGCCTCTCTAACATATGCGTTTAGCGATATACATCGAAAAGCGGACATATCGAGTAAAACAATAAAAACCGATCCCCAGTCTGTCGTGACAGATTAAGGCAGCTAGCTCCACAAGTGTGCGCGAATTAGGGTAAAGTTGTTTTTAACAACTCGAAGTTATCACGGATGATGAAATGAAAGAAGAACACACCAACAATACGAAACATAAACGCCCCAATTTAAGGTATATTCCATTGAAGAGGTATATTCTCATTCAAGCGCACCGCATGCATAACATGGATACCTTGAGCATCAAAGATGACTGCTCCCTATTGATACGCTCGTGGAGACTTCGGTCTGCGTATAATTTATCTCTTGACAGTTGTTCTACTTCATCTTGATTCGCAGTAGTCGCCATAGATCTATGGCGCTCCTCCATCATGTGCCACTGCGCGCGCTCGGCAAGCAACCTATAGGATTCAACGAGTGTACCTCTTCAAAACATTATATTCTGCAATGATGTGCTATTTAATATAAATACTTCCCGCGAAATAGATCACACTTCCTTCTCGCTAAAGATCCGTGTACCTTTACTCTGCATTCCAGAATAGATACGTGCATGTAGTATATTTTAAAGTCAAATTGCAGCTTTTCCATATTTTGAATATACCGCCAACAGATACCAAGTAGAGCTGATGAAAGGGGCATCAAGGAAGTCAATACGACATAGCTTCAAAAAACATGCCTGACATTGACCTACCTGTCGAGAGGAACCTGATATTGGTCTAATAATGTTTGTCTTTCAATGTTCATTGGATTTGGCAGGACCTCTCTTTGTAAACTTCCTATCTCACAGGGATCGCTTTCTATGAATTCCTGGCATATTTTTTCGGCTACATTATAAAGGGGGTATGCATCTATTCAGTAAAGGCGACCATATTTACATATCACATTACATGGAGGCTGATAAGAAGGTTTGTACGAGCAAAAATCGAATCCTTGGCGATAGACGAAATTCAGTCTGTATGGTCTCACTTGCGGGAACAAAGTTTGCCGAGGTATAATTGTTAGGCTGTTCGAGAATCATCTCGATACAAAGGGGGTGTAGTGTGTAAATAGCCGACTATGTGATTAAATTCATCGATTGTTATTTCCTACAACGGGGTTCGATTTGAAAGAATTTACAAGCACGCTCGAAAGAAAGATGAAATCAAATCAGAGCACCCATACCTGCCGTTAATTTATATGAATTACTGTCCATGGCCCTGTAGTGGTCCAGTACCATGGACATTGACGCAGTCAGAAGATGTCTCAATCGCTCACTTTCTGATGGGATATTGTCCGGCACATCTATTCGCAAGTCTGAGGGTTGCATCATGAATTGTGACAGAACAAGCACAAGTAAGAAGATTGGAGCAGACGTAACGTTACAAGGGTGGTTGAATATTGCAATACGTTCCATTTTGACTTCAAAGCGCCAACTATGGTCGTTGTTTAACTGAAAAAAAAAAGAGGTTCTTCTGCTGATAGAAGGCCATTGCTTACTGGTACTCTCGCTACACCTTTTCAAAACACATATTAGATATTGTAAAAGAAACATACGAAATCTCTGCTTTCTCGATGTTGCTAAGGTGATTCACGGAGCCTAACCAGATGTACACAAATGCGAGGGTATCCTGCGGAGCCACGCTGAGCTAATCAATACAGCAGTATAGTTAAATTCGCGAATTCCAACTCAAGTACTATTTTTGTTTTGGGTTAACAGAATACGCATATATAAACGGTAGCTCAAGCGCATACCTGATATAGATGACTCCGATAGTATTGAAGAGTCACCTCCTCCCCGCACGGACAATTTGTGTGATTTTCCACTCGACCTGGGCGTTTCTATATTCCTTTGGTTTGGCGTCCGTATAGAGGGCGTGCTTTGAATTGGCGCCATATCCTTCCCCCTGGGGGTGGGTACGTCATCATATTGCGGTCTACTACTGACCCTTTGGGACCGGTCTCTTATTTTCCTGGAGCTATTACTAGGAGCTTGTCCTTGAGATACAGATTGTGGCGGGTGTGGCAAGTGATCGTGAACACCTGACCTACGTGAGCTTCCGACTTGGGGGTTGGTTTGTGTGCGCGGCGTACTCCTTTGATTCTGTGTGTGATCGTAGTCGGGCGTGTAGGGCCTATCATCGTGTTGGTAAGGATCATCTCTGTCTTCTTGTCTCGTTTCTAAGCGGGTCTTGCGACAGCTTGTTGCTTGCCGCGTGTGTGATGGTGTGTGGATATGATCACTTCTATTTTCCGAAGTATCGACATGGTGATGATTTGGCCACCTTTGATCATGGCTCTGGTGTCTATGGAAGTCATTCCTGCTTCTATTGCTCGATACTGGGCTGCGGAACGATCCACTATGCAAAGCCTCTGAGGCATTAGGTACTGTCCTCCTGTGTGATATAGATACTCCCTACACAAAAGCAATAACAGCAACCACGTGAACTCCAGTAGATACGTGAGAACCAATACTACGTTGGCATAGTAGGAAATGTGAGTCGGCTTTGTGACTATAATGACCAAGGTATTATTACAAAGAGAAAGACGAACAGTATTCAAATTAGTATATATAAAGGATTGACGACACACCAGTAAGCACAATAACGAGTGGGTGAGCACTCACATTAGATATGTTATTTCAACTCATTGTTCAATATATGTACCTTGAGTGATTACAGCGAGAAGCACTCACAATACACGTATACGCAATACCTCTAATCGTGGGGCACTCGAATATCAGACTAAACTATTTGTACCAAACTCCAGACGTTCAAAGAAGGGTAGGTACGGGTGACTGATACTACATAAATACATTTGCTGTTTGCCAGTGGCCTTCCCAGGTCAGTATGACAATCGTAGTCACGAGACTACGCTTCATTTTAAATAAAATGATTCGTCGTTCTATAGAGTAAAGGTATGGACGACTAAAACCCGTTCGCAAGCACAAGATTCTTTTTTATTTACGATGTGCATGCAGATATATATATATAAATATACATACATACATACTTACATAAACACAGATATATATATATATATAAATAAATATATAAATATATATATATATATATATATACGTGTAGATATAATAATATTTACAAACGTACGTACAGACGTACATACAAATACACACACACTTAAACATATCTCTGAATACAGTTAAGTATGCTTGTCTAATGGAAATAGAATAGTAATGGACGATACATACA